AGCATTTTACGAAGAGAAACCAAACCATGAACTTTACCTGCTACCAAATCCAAACACAATTTCTTCCTCTCAACACTTCCCTTAATCCCTTCCCAAATCGAATATCAACTTGTACTCCAAGTACACACCCCCAACTCCCAGTGTGTTGCGTGAAAGCTTAATTTTAGCAATCATTATGCTTGCAATTAGATTAATGGACACCGGCAAGCGCCAAAATTCCACCAGACGATGAGTTGTCTTCACTTTGAGTTTTGTCATAAAACTGCTGGCCCGATATGTTCATTAGTTTGGAGGCCAATGATGAGCAATACCGAATCAGTTGCAGTGAAGTTACCGGTCACAGTAATGACAATGAGAATGATGGGATTGGACAATGAGATCGTCCTTAGTTAAGCGACATGTAAATTGGTTCATTTATGGAGGACACAAACCGTTAAAATTCGAAATTGTTTGAGTGAGTTTGTATTTAGTGTTTTCAAAATCGTGGTATATGAGTTAGGTGATTAAAATATCTAAACACAAACGAACCGACCCACGTACACCCCTAGGAAGAGTTTCAAAACTTAGTATTTAAGCGGACAAAAATGTTCAGAGAACCAGTCCCCTATAGTTTGCAAAAAGATATGATTGCTTCACTATAGTTCTGGAAATTAATGGTAATTTAAGAATTCTATATCACTTCTACATATTCAATACTATAATTCGATATGAAATATTTGAACCAACAATAATTTGGTTGCAAATTTATGGTTATCGTCTATTTATAAGATAGATAAAATTTTAAATTAAGTATTAAACTATAATTAAAATAAAAAAAATATCAAAATTGAAGTATCAAAACACCAAATAAGTACTTACGAAATATTTATTGGGCTAGCTAACTGTTGAAAAGTTCTGTGATTTCATATTTTAGCTTCGTATATATTTTTAATTTAAAAAAATACAACAAATCTACACAGTCTGATTGATTTTAAACCTTCACTTTGTTTGAAGTGACCATGGTTCAAATCTCAATATGTCTATATTTTTCTGTAAATAAATAAAAAATACAGATAATTGTGAAGACAAAGATGTTCTTACTAATTTCCCTCTCATTGCAGGAAATTTGGAAAAGGAGATTAAGTTTCAAATAATTAAATCAAATACCCTAAACCTATAGAACTTAAACCCTAATATCACATATACTAAGAACATAATCAATTATTTTGATTCGCCAAGATGTATACAACATACTATATGCACTATATTAGGATTTAGAGAATTATGATATAGGGTTTAGTTACGTGATTAATCTATGGTCTAGATAATGTTATTTAACTAAGAAGATTCAATAACCCTCAATCCATCGAGCGTGCCATAGAATTTCCAATGTATATACACATACCATTGTTTGTTAAATTTAGCCAATGATAATTGGCTCATTTTGTCAATGGTATTTAGCTTTTCAATTTTATGCTTATAATTGCCAACCGTTAAGGAAATTGTTAGCCAATGATTTTTGGTCATTCACTTATTGCATTGAAAATGTCTCGTTACAAAACCATAGATCACAAATGTCAAATTTTATGTTTTGAAATAAAATTTTGTGTAGCACTTTTGTAAACAATTCTTGTATTTCTACAAACTACAAAGTCATGTAACCTAATGAATGTAAAAGTTGTAAGACATACATAAACTTAATTTGATTCTTGGTGAAGAATTGTGTGATTAGAGGAACTCACTTAGTTGATTCATAAAGCTAGGTATATCATGATGATTCACTTTGTAAATAATTACATTTATTAATTAATTCGATGATTGATTGTTGCGATGGATAGTCCTATGATTTTGAGATATTTCAGTATTTTCTCTCTTTAATTCAAAAAATACATAAACATTAGTGTAGTCCAGTTGTTTAGGGGTATTTACTATCAATCTGAAGGACTTGAGTTCAAGTCTTGGTAATGGCATTTTTTTTCTCGTAAGAAGATATTTAAGTTCTAAGTTGAACTTACAAATTTACCCCTAGCTACAATTAAGGAGAGTGCAAGGAATTTGAAATGCTCAAAATCTCATGAAGAACGGATATATATTATAGAGGGATTTTCTGTTAATCCAATATTTTCACCTAATAGTTTACAGTCTTTCCTTTTGTTATAGAATTATTACTAATCACTAGCGTGGCCCCGGTCAGTTGACCGGAGGAAGGTGAGGTATTAAATTTGAAAATGTAATGGGGTGTATAGCTTATTGTTGTATAGTTTTTTTTTTTTGGAAATACGTGATAAAAATAGTGAATTTTAGCAGGGAAGAGACATGAATGATGCAACGAATCAAAAATCAGTCTTATGAACCAAAATCAAGTACATATTACCTTGTGAAACAATATTGTTTCTGGTAATATGATGAGGTGGAGTAAGTTTTATAGAAACCGAATTCCAAAAAATCGAATAAACAATCACCTATCCTGCCGGGTTTCGGCAAATGAGCAGCTCACAATCGTTGCTAGCTTTTACTCGGCCCGTTGGCCGACTAATTTGCTTTATAAAACTTTCATCTTGTCGTCATTGTGCTTTCTGGATTTTGCAAGGCCATGATAAAATCTAAAGAATTACATAATATATATTTGGTTATTTTTAACATTATAATATCAAATAATTACATAATATATATTTGAAATGATAAAAATTGGACTAATTGGGTTGGTCGAGGTTAAACCATTGAATAAATTTAAAACACATTATATTTTAGCCACTAAGATATAAAATAAAAGCATAATATATATTATGCTAGAGAAAATAGCTTGTTTTAGAATGACAAACTCATGATGTTCATTTGTTTTATTTGATGGCCAAATTCCGTGTAGGTCAGGCCCATTCAACTCTTTTATTTTATGGTTAGCGGTTAGCCTATTAGAATTCATGCATTAGTTTATTGTTAAAATTTTTCTTTTTAGCAATAAAAAAGAGTATTATTTTTGTCTTTTCATATATATTTTACCACCACCGAGAAATAAAAGGGCTTAAAGAAAAAATTGACACTTCTGGACCCGTTTAAATCTGCATGTGTACGGTAAGTTGGCCCGTTCCACAGAGGAAAGAGAAAAAATTGACACTCCCTATTCTACGCTTCCTACAAACGCTCATGGAGCAGAGAATTTGAAATGGAGGAAGGGTTTTTTACTCCCTGCTATTATATGTTTTTTAGGTTAAAAAGATACAAAAATGTACTTAGTGTGATTGATTATGATACTTACTTTTCTATAAAGTGGCCATTGTTCGAATCTCTATACAATGTCATTTTTAATGAATAAAAAAGGATTAATAGCATTTTGTGCCCTCTACTTTGCCAAATTAACAAACATAACTCTCTACTAAATTTTTGCACAAACATACCCTTCTAATATTAAATCGTAACAAGTTTACCCTTTCATCTAATTTTCCGTTAAGTGACCATTAAATGGTCTGGGAAATGACCTAATTACCCCTCCTTTACTCCAAATTTCATTTTTAATTTTAATTATTTTATTATTTATATCCAAGATTATAAAAACAAAAAAACAATTAATTAGAAAAGGAACAAAAGCGAGCATTCCCGGCGTCGCTGAACTAATTGCACAGCCAACGAACTCGTCTTCTTCCCTACTCCCCGGCGTCCCTGAACCAGAGGAATCTGGCATTCATCAGCGGCTCTCTATTGAAGGAGTATCCTGCGACCAGTAGTTGGCAACGTCCCGCAAAATTGCCATCGATGCCGGCTGCAGCGGGCTTCGGCGGTGGCGAGACGCTCAGCTTCCGAATCGATCCGCATCTTCCTTTGATCTTAGCTTGTTTTCCTCGAAGTATTTCCTGCACCCGATTCTTGCCTCTTTCGTTTTTCTGCAAATAGTGTTGGATTCCTAATTTTGAATTCTAACCTCCTAATCGCTTCTGTTTTCGTCTATGGATCTATGTGAATGGTTTGTAGTAGTTGTTCCATTGTGGTGACTTAAAGAAGTTTTTGTTTCTTTTGCTTAAGTTTTACAGTAGATGATTAGTTTAGGGGTTTGAAATTTTAAGGGGAGACGGACAGGGAAGATTGCTTTAGGGGAGATGGATCACCGGGGAAGATTTCAGGAGAGATGGACAGCCAATTGCTTCTGAATTAATTTAGGGGTTTGAAATTTTAATTAAATGATTTCGGATAGAATAAAAATAATTAAACTGACATTATGAGTGTTTAATAGTAAACGAGAGTAATTAGGTAATTTTTCAGTCCATTTAACAGTCACTTAACAGAAAATTAGATCTGTTCTGAGATCTATTCGCAGGTTGGTGGCGCAGGACTGGTTGGTCAACATAGTACATACTTACCGTGAAGGGAATAAAGTCGCGGACTGGCTCTCGAAGCATGGTCTCGTCTATCCCCATGGTATGTATGAACTGGTTGATCCGCCGGCACCCTTGAGGTCCATTTTGCAGGACGACGAGAGAGGTGTTGTTTTACCTCGGAGTGTTGTCCAAACTCCCTAGTTTCACCTGTAACCTCTTTCTTCTTTGTTCTTGGCTTGCCTCCATCCAATAAAAAAAAACAGAAAATTAGATGGAAGGGTAAACTTGTTACGATTTAATATTAAAAGGGTATGTTTGTGCCAAAATTTAGTAGAGGGGTACGTTTGTTAATTTATCAAAATAGAGGGGTACAAAATGCTATTAATCCAATAAAAAAAGTAATTGTGAAGACCAAAATATTGTTCTTACTTTCACTCTCGTTGCAGAAAATTTGAAAAGGAGCAACAGGTTTCTCTTCCTGCTATTATATATTAGACTACTTCAAGGTATTCACTCATTTGCGGGGCAAGAGTTTTAGGGTAAAGCTATAGAGGCCCAGTTGCTGGTGAATAATGCCCAATGCAGACAAATGGCCCTTCAGTGCACAAAACAACCAGAGCCCATAGTGCACAGCCCAGCCCAAACCAAACCCTTCCAATCGCAATGCCGAAGTCAGGATTGAAAACCTAATTCATCTTCCCCTTCCGCCTTAACCTTTCGTCGCTCACTCCCTTTCCCCGCCTCCGCTCTCCACCCTCCGGCTCGTGCCCGGCCATCTCCGATCGACGCTCGCCCTTATCCCCTCAGTCACTTCGTTTTTCTTTTTCGATTCGAGTATCGTCCCCGCTGATCCGGTTTTCGGTTTCAGAGTCACCAATCCAGGCGAGAGATCTCGGTAAATCCTTCATTTTTCGAATCTCAAGTGTTTTCTTTTTTGATTCATTTCAGTTTCACCTGTTGCTGGAGATTGTACCGTGCTTGCTCTTTGGACCAATCTGTTTTACTGAGTCGCAGCCGGCCGAGCTGTTTGGCTATAGTACTGCCAATCAGTAAGTTCAATACGGCTGCTTACATTTAGTTAGGGGCGCAAAAACCAGCTCTTCTCTGTAATAGATTGAACAATGCGAGATTGATCGTGCCCTGAAATTTTTTCCCCGGTCATTCGAGTAGGGTATTTTCAGAGACTGAGTGAAGAATAGGCAACGGGGAATGTAAATTCTTTTGCGGATTAGGATTTTTGCTACCCTTCGCTACAATTTGTTCATTTGTTGTTTACAGTAATATATTTTTCGGCATTTCATTGAACATTGTGCTTTAACCGTTAGCAGAGTGTTGAACATAAGGAATGCTCAAATATATGATATAATCATGATACTTGATATAGTTCCCATTGGAAGGAATCCTCTTGAATGTGTGGAATTTGGGAAATGCTAAATTCTACCAAGGAGAAGAATATAACCGTCAAATTCTTCTGACTGCGGTGCGGTGCCTACTGAGTCACAGCCGGCCGAGCTGTTTGGCTATAGTACTGCCAATCAGTAAGTTCATACGGCTGCGTACATTTAGCTAGGCGCGCAAAACCAGCTCTTCACTGTGGTAGATTGAACAGTGCAAGATTGTTTGCGCCCTGAAATTTGTTATCCTTTAGAACCCTCATAAGATTAGGATTTTAAGAAATCAAAGTGAAGACTAGGCAAAGTAGTGTGTAACTTATGGCAGTTCAGGATTTCTGCTACCCTGATTTGTTCAACTTTTGCTTATTATATCCAGTTTTTCCACTTTTCATCTAACATTGTGCTTTAAAAATAAGCAGAATTTTGAGCATCAGGAATGCTCAAATGTATTATTTAATCATCAGTTCTGAGTTGCATGATACGTTATATAGTTCCAATTGAAGGAATCCTCTTGAATGTGTGGAAGTTGAGAAATGCAAACTTCTACAAATGAGAAGAATATGATCGTCAAATACGTTGGTCTATACTGCTTGCATGATTTAAATTCCTAGGGCTGCCATGTCTTCTTCTGAAATTATTTTTCTTTGTATTATTATTAGTTCCTAATTGAATCAATGCTTTATCTATTTTTGAAATTAATGGGCACGACAGGGGAGTGAAAGATGCCGCTTTATGACTGTGTGCTTTTGTTCAAGCCTCATGTAAAGAAAGAACCGATCATGGACTTGGTGGCTCGAATAGGAAAACACATTTGCAGTAGGAATGGTGTAATCACGGAGATGAAATCATTTGGGACCATCCACCTTGGTTATGGCATCAAGAAGCTTGATGGAAGATTTTATCAGGTGAACAAAGTTTGGGAACTCAGAAACCTGAAGCTTCTTTACTTTCTTGTGTCAGCTTTCGGCTTCGACAGATGCTAAATTTTTATTATTTCTCTACGCCCAGGGCCAGCTGATGCAGATGACGATGATGGCGACACCAAACATGAACAAGGAGCTGCATTACCTGAACAAGGAAGATCGCTTGCTGAGGTGGCTTCTCACCAAACACCGAGATACAGGTTGTCTACAGGACACCGATTTTCGCTTTGAGGATATTAGAACTGTACTAAAGGCGGAGAGAAACTCTCGCCGTGGCCTGTTTCATTACGTTCACCAGAATGATGCAGATAAAGATGATTATGACACTGAGGACGATACTGACCAAGTCGAGAGTAGACCACTACGATGAGCAGAATATGGGGATTGTGTGCATATCTCGGTCTCCTTCTCGCATTAGGATTGCCAATGGCTGTGTTTCTCTTTCGATGTTATTGTTTGTGATCTGCCCTCTCCAAAACTCATCGGAGAGCATATGGCTTTGTCGAACTACTAGATTCGAGTATACCAATGTTTGGACGATGGTAGTGATGGCTACATCAATAAGGCATCCTTGATTGTTACTAGTTCGCTCAATTTTTGTAGTTGAAAGATGAATTTTAGTTTCCTGCACAAACGCCAATTTTTTTTGTATTGATTTGGATTGTAATGTTTAGGAGTTTAATACAATTACTAATGGGTTAATTGCATGGTTGGTCACTGAGATTACAAAAAAACTGCATGGTTGGTCACTGAGATTACAAAAAACGTTCAAATTTGGTCACTCGAAATATTTAAATCCATTGATGATACTTCAGTTTACTGAAACCGTTCACGTTTGATCACTCTCCGTCCAACTCCATTAACTTTGGCTGATGTGGCAGTGGCATTTAAGAATTAATAAATAAAATAAATTTTAATCTATTTTAATGTCCAACTCATTTTTACCATAAAATAAATAAATAAAATAAAAATATATTATAATTATTAAACACCAAATTAAAAGAGGCAGGAATGTGGCAGTCAACTCCACGCTGCTGGAGTTTCACCGGAGCGGAATCGGAGAGACGAGGGTGAGCACGACGGATCCGTACATAGTACTCGAGAGCTCGATCTACAGATTTCTTGTGAGGGCTTTCGAAATCGAGGTGATGAAGACGCCGAGGATGAAGAAGGCGGCGGCGGCGGCGCTGTTAAAGAACTGCTACGAGAAGGGCGATCTGCCGATGTCGCTGAGCGGGCTCTCGGTGCCGGAGATCGCTCTGGTTTTCGAGAACGCAGATGTGAAGTGGGATATCTACGGGGTCAATTAGGTGATGGAGGTGAGCGAGGAGGTGATTTGTCTGGCGTTTGTTGACGGCGGGCCGGTGACGGCAAAAGGGGCCACTGTGGTGGCGATGATCGGAGCATATCAGATGCAAGGGGTTCTGGTTCAGTTCGATTTGGGGTCCGGGAAGATGGGTTTTACTAATACGCTTTTGGCTGAGAGCGTCGAGTGTTCCAACTTCCATTTCTAGTGACTAATGATTGTGATTACAATGGTTTAAAGGAGGCTTAGGATAGGGTGAGTAGCCACCTAGGGATCGTTGATCTTGGCCGGACGGATCTTGTGGCTGTGATTGATGCGGTGATTTTTATCCACGGTCAGGGGCATTTTTGTCTGATATTTTATATTTGAATTAAATGACTTTCCCTCTTTGTCCGTTGCAAATCTTTCTGTGCGTGAGTTGGATTCGGATTTTGGAGAGAGAAACTACGAGCAGGGGGAGCAGCAGCTGAGAAACAAGGACGGCGATTCTCCATGGTTGATCGACGGCGATAGAAACTGCGAGCAGCAGCTTCGAATCGAGCTTTCTGATTCTCCATAATTGATCGACGTGTGCGCGAGTTGGATTCGGTTTTTGTAGAGAGAAATTGCGAGCAGCCGCTGCGAAACAGGGGACGACGAATCTTTTCTGATTCTCCATAATTGATCGACGACGAGGTTAGATATTAGTTTTTTTGATTCTTTCTGTTTAGCTAATCGAGTTTTCTTTTGATCTCTGGTTTCGTTGGAGGTTTTTCATTGCTGCTAGTCGAGCTTGTTTATGTTTAGCTAATCGAGCTTGTTCATGTGTTATGTTCTTTGTGTTTTGGTGTTTTGGCAGTATTCTGGTGAGATGAGTAACGTAAATTGTGGCGATGTTGTTCCAATTGATAGATCTGGTTCTTCAACCAGCGTTGTAGGATCTGGTTCTTCATCTAGTGCTGTTGGAACTGCTTCTTCATCTATTGATCTTGGATTTGATCATTCAGCTAACTCTGGTGAATCAGGAGGTAAGATATGCAAATTTGTTTGTTTATTGAAGTTTGTATAGTGTCGTAATTTGATTTTACCATGCCTTACCATGTGGTAATTGATTTTATAGTACATTACCATGTGGTAAAATGTGGTAATTAGGAAGTTAAATGTGATGTTTCTGTGTGATAATTTATTTTACCATGCCATACCATATGGTATAGTGTGGTAATTTGATTTTACCATGCCATACCATGTGGTATAGTGTGGTAGTTTGATTTTACCATGCCATACCATATGGTATAGGGTGGTAATTTGATTTTACCATGCCTTATCATGTGGTAATTGATTTTACAGTACATTACCATGTGGTAAAATGTGGTAATTAGGAAGTTAAATGTGAGGGTTCTGTGTGATAATTGATTTTACCATGCCATACCATGTGGTATAGTGTTGTAGTTTGATTTTACCATGCCATATAGTGTGGTAATTTGATTTTACCATGCCATACCATGGTGGTAACTCTTGTATCATGGCTGTAATTATTGGTATACATTGAGATTTCATACTGTTGTGGTGTGGAATCCATTTAATATGTTGTTTCATAATGTTTGTAGGTTTCAATGGTATAGATCCTACTGTTCGTGATTCTTGGAAGGACTTAGAGTTCAATACACCAGATGATGCATATAATTTTTATGTTGATTATGGGAATCATGAAGGTTTTGGTGTGAGGATTTATAACCAATCAGCGTGTCCGAAGCTCAATGGTGGTTCTTCAGCTGTATATTATATCAAGTATTGTTGCAATAAGGAAGGTTGGAAAAGAGGTAGCGAGAATAACCCTGATAATGCAGGTGTTGTTGATACGACGGTTCGTGTTCGTAATGTTCCAGAACTCAGGGGTGGATGTAATGGTGCTTATATACGACTGAGGTGGTTTAAAGAGTTTAAATGCTACAAGATCTATCGTTGGTATAATGTGCACAACCATGACATGATTCCTGAGTCTCTGCGTCACTATGTGAGATCCAACAGACGAATGGCTCCTGTGTATAAGATGTTGGCAGAGGTGAATGATGCTGCTGGTATTGGTGTGACTTCTTCGTATAATGCAATTAGTAGGGCTGGTGGTGGTCGGAAGTTTGTTGGGTTCACAAAGAATGATTTGAAGAACCATCTGCGAACGGTTAGGACGTCATCAATGGAGTATGGTGATGCGACTGCATTGCTTGAATACTTTAGACGTCAAGCACAGGTGGATCCTGGGTTCTTTCATGAGGTGGAGGTTGATGTTGAAGAGAACATTGCTAGTATTTTTTGGGCAGATGGGAAGTTGAGGATGGATTATCATTATTTTGGTGATTCAATTAGTTTTGATACTACTTACCGGACTAACAAAAAGTATCGGCCACTAGGTATGTTTTCTAGTTTGTTGTTTATTATTGTGTTTGTTAGTTTGTATGATTATTATTATTATCATTCTGTATCATGTTTTTTTTTTCTTAAAAGTATTTTACCATATGGTATGTATTGGTAACAAGGTTATTTGAGGTGGTTTTTGTTCTTAAAAGTATTTTACCATATGGTATGTGTTGGTAACAAGGTTATTTGAGGTGGTTTTTGTGCTTAAAAGTCTTTTACCATATGGTATGGGTTGGTAACAATGTTATTTGTGGTGTTTTTTGCGTTGTTAGAAGTGTGTACTATATGGTAGTCTGGTGTGAATTGTTTTTTTTTTCTTAGGAGTCTTTACCACATGGTATGAGTCTTTACCATATGGTATGGGTTGGTATTATTGTTATTCGTACCTTTTACCACATGGTATGTGTTGGTAGAATTGTTTTTACTCACATTTTGTTATGTTTATGTAGCTTTGTTTGTTGGTTTCAACAATCATCACCAACTGACTGTCTTTGCGGCTGCTCTTCTATATGATGAAACAACGGCAACATATGAATGGCTTTTCGATCAGTTTTTGAAATGCATGGGAGGTGTGAGACCGCTATCAATGTTTACTGACCAGGCTGCTGCAATTGCTGCTGGTATAAGGTCTGTTTTTCCAGATTGTTTTCATGGGTTGTGTACATGGCATATTGCTCAGAATGCAGTTATTAATCTGGGAAGTTTGTGTGATTCTGACTTCCTTCGTGAGCTTAGTTATTTGATGTATAATGCTGATGATGAGGATGATTTTGAGTATAATTGGAAGAAGATGATTGAGAAGTGTTTTCCTGGGAAGGGACCTTTGGGACACAGTTGGTTACAGGGCATTTACAAAGTTAGGACGAAGTGGTCTTCAGCCTGGGTGAATTGTCATTTTGGTGCGGGAATGAAGAGTACCCAGCTAAGTGAGTGCTGCAATAGTAATATTCGCCATTACTTGCAGTCAGAGTTTAGCGTTAGTAGGTTCTTTGTGCACTTTGAGAGGATGCTTGATAATAAGAGGGATGCTGAAGAACAAGAAGAGTACTATGCCTTATCTAGGTTGGCTGATTCTCGGTTTTCTACTAGCCCTATTGTGAAGCAAGTTGCTAATGTGTATACGCCGAAGATATTCAAGTTTTTCCTGGATCAGTACAAGGAATCCCTTGCGTATAATATTTTTTCCAATACGGAGATAGAACCAGAAGGACATGTAGGACTGTTTGATGTCTTCATATTGGAGGATGACCTTACAAGGTTGGATAGTAGGGTGTTGAAGGTTGATTTTGAAAACGGTGAAATCAAGTGTTCTTGCCGTAAGTGGGAGTCAAGTGGTATGATCTGTAAGCATCAAATTAAGGGATATGATATGTTGTGGTCTACAACATGCAATCTGAAGTTCCAGCACATTCCTAGCAGTTTGATTTTGAAGCGGTGGACAAGGGCAGCGAAAACTGGAGGGAACTTTTCTTTTGAAGTTCCGTCTACTGATAGTCCATCGAAATACCGTTCTCGTCTTTTCAATCTGTCAGCTGTTTCTGCATCAATGATCAGCAGGGTTGCATTGGATGATGATTTGTATAAATCAGCCATGACCTTCATGACTGATTTGATCAAAAAGTGTGAAGCCCTATCGATTACTGAACCTGCTGGAACAAGCACGTCTTCTAACGGTGATAGTAAGTTTTTTTTAATTGTTTAGAGTTTGTTTTTGTTTTTGTTATCTGTCATTGATTGTAGTTTGTTTTTGTTATCTTGGTATAGATGATGTACCGGTCCAAAAAGTGAAGGGGTTTAAGCCTAAAAAAGATTCATTCAAGCCTTCGAAACGACCAATTCCAGTTGCGGAGGCTGCAAGGGCTGTAAGCAAGAAGAAGAGAAAAACTAGCAGGCTTGAGGAGGAGAATTTGAAGGCTGTTGAAGAAAGTTTAAGGCTGAAGCTGTAATAGTTTTCTTAGAGGATTATCTGAATGAATGGTTGATGCTGGTTGAATCGTTGAAGCTATTTTGTTCTTTTGGATTGGTTTTTGGTTTTGTTGTATTAATTTTACAATGTTATACCATGTGGTATAATGTGGTAATTTGATTTTATCATGTCAAACCAGGTGGTAAAATGTGCTAGTTTGGAAGTTGAATGTGAAGGTTCTGTTTTATAATTGATTTTACCATGCCATACCATATGGTATAGTGTGGTAATTTGATTTTACCATGTGGTAATGTGTGGTAATTGATTTTACCATGTGGTAAAATATGATATTTTGGAAGTGGCATGTGTGGTAATTGATTTTACAGTAAATTACCATGTGGTAAAATGTGGTAATTTGGAAGTTAAATGTGAGGGTTCTGTGTGATAATTGATTTTACCATGCCATACCATATGGTATAGTGTGGTAATTTGATTTTACCATGTCATACCATATGGTATAGTGTTGTAATTTATTTTTACCATGCCATACCATGTGGTAAAATATGGTTTTTTGGAAGTGGTATGTGTGGCAATTGATTTTACAGTGCATTACCATGTGGTAAAATGTGGTAACAAACTAAAACACAGCAGGACTTATGGTTTTTTTGCTATTTTACAACATGAAACCATAGTTTACCACACAT